GAGTCATAAATGAGATCATTTCTAGCTCATTTTTATACCATTAATTGCCCATCAACTGATCATTCTTATGCCATACCATTAACTGGCCATTAATGGCTCGTTAATGTCTCATTTTCATTCACCTGGGGTTGGCCTGTCTCAGTCATGTTTGACAGGATCAATGATTTCAGATTTAAAAACATCGATGACGATGCATGAAGGCATTGCAAAAATTGATCAACTTGTCCGTGGCGATGTTCACTGTCGACAATTAACGACTTTACATGAATACTCATGTTTTCATTCTCAGATTCTGTACACGTATTCATACATCTTACAGAGAAACAGAAAAACTATGATATCATTCTTATGTGCTATAGATGTTCATTCTGCAAAATAACACCCTTGTTTTTTTCTTTCGTCTAAAATTTCTCTTCTTCAACATTTGTTTCGTATTTATCAGTTGAATCTCGGAAATATGGAATAATAATTATGAAGGGAGTGAAAGCTCGTCTGTATGAGAATGTTTTATCGCATATAAATATTTCTTTCTCCTCGCTTATCATCGTTATATGTATAAATCATACAGTAAGAATATACTGTAGACATTCTTTCAGCTGTTTCACAGAAAGTAAATCAGTAGAAAAAAGATATTTCCTGCAGCAGCAGTCATAGTATTCGTTCCTATATTCTTCGTCTGGCTCTAACAACAAACTTCTATATGATTAAGTAGCAGAGCTCCGTATGGATTCAGATTTTTTGGATTTCATGGACTCGGACTGGACTGGACTGGACTCAAAAATTTGAGTCCATACGGAGCTCTGTTAAGTAGACAGAAACGGTGAGGATGTGTGAATAGAGCAATATGACGTCATAGAATCAAATAGTGACTCCTAAACGTAAACCAAAATGTTTTCTGAAGTTTTTGCTCTCATTATACAGAAACTAAATTACTTTGAAGAGTAAGTAACCTTTGATCTTTTTTTCATTAAAATCGATTTCGGGACATACAAAGTGTGCATTATACTGAGGTTTGTTTTTCAATATAATCTCTGTTACTCTTTTTCCTTTCTGCCAGTTCGCTACATCTTTAAAACTAAAACAAAAAATTTTAGTTTCTAACCACTTATGTATTTGCATTTGCGACCATATGAACACATTTTCGTTTTGTATTTAGAGTGCAAAATCTCCTTTCGTTTTTTAATACGCTACTCTAACACTAAATGTAGGTGTGTGACAATTCCATATCACCTCGTGGAACTGGAACTGTTCAAACCAGTTCATTTCATTTGAACTAGAGTTGAAAACCAGTTCATTTCATTTGAACTAGAGTTGAAAACCAGTTCATTTCATTCGAACTAGAGTTAATCATTTGAACTTGAGTTGGAAACCAGTTCACTCTCTATGAGTTCAATATCTATGAACTAGAGCCTAAGATCCAGTTCGTCGATTCAGTTTACACGAACTGATCAACCTGAACTGTCACACACCTAACTAAATGAGAAACGGGTAAGGTTTTCCATTGATCCAGAAACTCTTATAAAAAGCGTATTTCAATACGTATATTTTAGGTTTGTACTTGATTTCAAAAACTTATAGTATTTCAAAATACGCCTAACCGAATTTGAAGGAGCTTTAGCGCTCTGTGCAATCGAAATGTGTTTCGTATAGTAGCCAATACAAAAACTCTTCGAAATACTGATTGTGGATATTCTGAACTATGCTTCAGACTTTTGTGCGACTCTTAAATCGATTTTCTTTTTTCGATTTTTAATCTGAAAATCTCTCTGATATTCACCCATACTCTTAAATTGAAATTAAGGTATCATAGGAGAAAAAACACGTACGCTAATTCAGCATCGAAGGAAATCAAAAACGAAGAACAAATTAGAGGCAGCCTGTTTTAAATTGCATGTGCTACATCATACAGAAAACTCCAATTAGGGAAAACGAACAAGATGGCCCATAAAACCCGATTTATAATCAACTCAACTTTTACCTTTTTAAAATTACTTTTGAACTCTTCAGTGATTATAGGTGATCTGTAAAAATCGAAGCCGAAAGTCAGGGTTTTCCCTTTCTGATAACCAGTGGAGTTTTGTCAACACGAGGTCGCAAAATAGTGCAGGGAACAGCTGTCCTCAAGTGCGTTAAAAGAGTTCGTAGGAACAGTAGACGGTGCCAAATGATGACTTATTATGTCGTACGTGGTACATGTGTGACCTCGTGTAACCGTAAGTAGTTTTACATTGAAATTTGGCTCGGAAGTGAGACCACTACAGCATCACTATCAGTTTTTCTAGCAGAGAAATTTTTTGATTTTCAACACTTGTAACAGTAGATTATGTGCTTGATCAAAAAATGCGCGATAAGTGTTTACTGATCGAAACTTTTGCTAATGTTAGAGATTATGCTTGGGTACTCAAGAGAGCTGAGACTTTCTCATAGGAGCAGGTCAGCAGCAAAAAAAACTATATTAAGTGAGTATTGTAAAACAACCATAAAGAAGGTAAGGTTTATGACAAAATCAAAGAAATCTGCAGGCACTTCTGAATTTAGATTTTGATGTTTGTTTTAGAGCATAATATATAAGCTGAATCCTAGTTGCTCGTCGTACCTCATAATGGACTCCTTACGTCGGCCTACATCGCTGAACGATTTGCACACCGATTTAATACTCTGTATATTCGATTTTCTTTCATGTATCGACATCGTCTATTCATTCTTCAACTATGATAAAAAATTTAGTAGTTTAATATTAAACCGGAATAGATATGTGTCCAATCTAGATTTTCGAACTGTAACTTTCGACGTGATGAGACACATTTTCCAAGAAATGATGCCAAACATAAGTATTCATGTGAAATCGTTAATTGTCGGCAGTGAACATCGCCGCGGACAAGTTGATCGATTTTTGCAATGCCTTTATGCATCGTCATCGACGTTTTCAAATCTGAAATCATTGATCCTGTCAAACATGACTGAGACAGGTCAACTGAATCTCAGCTCATTTGGTAGCTTAAAACGGCTAGAGCTCATTGCAGGAAATGATTATTATACAGATTTTCCTGAACACATGTTTGAAACATTATTATGCGACCAGAATGAACTAGAGGCATTACGCTATGAAACACTTGGTTTTATAATGGAATATACGAGCAGAACAATTTCGCTGAAGCTTCGTCGATTAACAATCAAGATACACAATGTCACTTGTGTGCATAAAGTACTAAAACAAACCCCATATCTTGAATATTTAAATATAATCACTACCTATTTGTTTGATTCTGACGAATCAATTAATCTATCGTATTTAACAAGATTTTCGCTCACCGATCTAGAGCCACTGAAAGACTACGGGGTGAACCATTCTTATGAAGCAAAATTCGATAATATAATATCACTGATATGCAATTTTTCTCTGACTCTTACGCATTTGTCACTTAATTTGCCTCATACTACGTGGATAGATGATGACGCATTTGATCGATATTACTTGCACAACAACAATCGACCAGAACATTTTTATTTTTATTTGAAGTTTCACAGATTACCAATGTTTCTCGATACATTTCACCGGGAAACAGTCGGTTATCATTCATCATTCGATGAATCGATGATGTTCGTTTACTCGTTACCATTTGCATTCAAAACTCTGATTGACTTCTCTGGTGTGGAAGCGATAAAATCGAATTCACTGACATGGTCAAATGTCGAACGTATCGAGATGAACTCATCTGTCTCGCTGTCTTTCAATCGAGAAGGAACGACATCGCTTCTCAGAATCGAAAACAAAACCGAAACAATTAATTTGAAAAACATCAAATGTTTGTCTATCTCGGAGAAGAATTTGTCGAAACTGAACGCTGTAAGTAACATTGACGAACTAGAAATATCCGAATGTTCGAATCTCGAAATGGTAAGCGAACATATGCTTCGATTCATTAATGTGCGTATACTAAAGATATTCTGCGATGAAGATACGTGCCACAATCATATGACTATTTCACGTATCTTATTAAATCTGCTAGATAAACTCACTCATCTTGAGTCGCTCACATTCACGTATGTTCCAATTGCAGATGTCCCTTATTATCGTCCTCTGTCGTCGATCAGACAAATCACCAAACACGTGATGGAACTCGATGAGTTGTGCCAAGTCATTGATCAATACCAATTAGCAACTGATGAATGTTATTATGTTCAATGGTGGAAATAAGATGTTTTAAGGGGGACCCCCCCAGCGAAAAAAAGTTGTTATTTCATATCCGATTTCGATGGCGCTTACAGGAAGTAATAATTACTGTGCACGTAACTGATGCTAAAGATTTGGGCTCAAAACGTTGAAGCGTTGCCCTGTTATTGGCCGACAACGGGCAAAATGGGCTCTTAGGAAAAATGTATGGCCTATGTTAGTAGAAAGAGTAGAAAGCTGCGGGCGATCGTAAATAAAAATAGACATCTAAATCTAAAATTTGTCCGTAGGGTTTTTTGAATTTCGCTTTCGTTCATTCTCTATGTGTGTTTTAAATCGACTTCATGTTAAATTCGTACTCGTAACGAGATGAAAAAACGCTTCAGTGCATCTAGTGTTGGCTGTTTGACCTCGTATGAGTTTAAAAACATGTTACAAGTTGAAAACTGTTATGTTGTAATATAGTATAGGGGAGGCTGGGGAGGCTGTTTTGACCTCGTACGAGTTTAAAAACATGTTACGAGTTGAAAACTCTGTTATGTTGCAATATAGTATAGGGGAGGCTGTTCTGAACCTAAAGGAACGCTGCGTCTGAAAAATCTTCCTGTTGGGAGGAAGACTGGATGGATCCGCCTTACCATCTGGGCCGATGCATCACTACGTGATTGATGTCATTGTTCAACCAAATCAAGAGATACAAAATAAGTTTTAAGTTCTTCGTTAATGGCAAAAACAAAACAGAAACTTTTCGCAAGAAATGCCTGGACAAGTCGATGTTAGTGACTTCGTTCACAGCATTGAAAACTAAGGGGTGGTGGTGGAAGTATGTCGAAGCTTGAAGAATTGTATTGTTTACAGCATTTTGACAAACCTGTACATGCATAGTCTTTTAGTTTCAAGCGTTTTTTAAAGACTAAAGTTTTGCATAAAGCCAGATGTTAAGAAAACTCACTAGGAAGTTTGAGAAATTATTCATCGTTTCATAAGGAAAATCAGCTTATACGGAAAGCTACAGAAAAAAGAAAAAAGCTCGATGAAAAGGATCTAGATTTAAAAAAGGAAAATCCTTTAATCATCTTACGCTGCTTCAGTAACTGCGTGTTAAATGAAGCTGCAAAATGGTCTTGTTTTAGTTGAATTTCAAAAAGCAGAATTTTTCTGCCAAAATCAGCGGATCTGGGATCTCTGGCATAAATCCACGATTCTAATGATGGTATCGATGATAGTAATTTTTCTAATCTAAATAATCAAGTCGTTGACATTTATCAGTTATTGACAATTTTAATTCTTTTAGTTATGAAAACGTTTTGATAACTGCTGAAACTGGTTCACATTCAGTACGAGAACTTTTGATATTCGATGATTGTAGATTTGGAACATATTTATTTAATGTTAAACTATGGTCAGTTATATAACGGAAATTCGCCCAGCTCTGAGTATCATTGGTTTTTGTTCTTTAGTCGATTACATCGCATTTGTTGGGCAATTTTGTTTTGTTTTTTCAGTTATTGTGGCAGACGAGCCTGCCGAGTGTCGTTATTTACAGTATTGCTTGGTGCATCAGGTAGACTTGCGATGTTTGACGCTCTAGTTTGTTTTACTTACTTTTGCTTGGTTGCTCTACTTCGGAAAATTCGAACATTTGAAAAAGCTAATTGATGCTTATCGGAAAGTTGAGACCATCATAGGCGACTTAGTGTTGATCAAGCATCGAGACAAACGTCCTGGCGAACGTATTTCTACTGTATTGGATAGTGGAACAGCCGTTGGTCTTCTGAATCACATCAAGGAAATGAAAACTGTTATTATTATATCAGACGAAGGTGATACTCTCTTGTCTAAGTTAGGTAAGTCAACAAATACCAAGTTTTCACTAAATTTTTGAAGTTAAAGGAACCGTTTAACTTTAACCCGTAAAGGTGAAGATGTCCAAGATTAAAGTGAGAGGCCTACCTGAGAAGAAAAAGTAGGAAAAAAGCAAAAAGAATTTATATTTTATTGTTTTTTTAGGCAAATTCAACGTTATTGACACGAGTAAAGGCGCTGAGAATAATTGGGTGCTAACTCAATGTTTTGACGGTTTTGATCATTTTGTGAGAGTAACAGGCGTTTCGCCGATCAATATTCCACTTAGTAATGTATCAATTTGTGTTGCAACCACCGGTGAACGTTATGGAGGTGTCATTGAAGAATTACTGAAAGAAAAAGGAACAACAGGTACGCAAACCCGTTTCCTGTATTGTCCACAAATTTGCACGGTTTATGGAATGATCATGCACCAGATGGCTTTGTAGAATGATTTAGAGATTATTATAAATATAAATTTAAACATAATTTTATTGCATCTGTACGATAACAAGCTGGTATTAAACTAAATTAATCCGTTCAATGCAACAAATTGGTGAATTTAGTCTTGTTGGACATACAAAAACTATTACAATAAAAAAATCTACCAGAAAACGTAAACAGATATAATTTTCGTTGTTTTATCGTTTTTCAAGTAAACAAGGTTCTTTTTCTACATGCTATTTTTTAAAGCATGTTGCTTATAGTCAGCAATGAAAAGTCACACAGCATTTGATCAATTATATATACTTATACATTTTCTAGTCAATCATTTTATATATTTGTTTATTCATGCATATTCTTATTGTTTTATTATATTGATAACTATTTCTTTTGCATTACATGATTATTGGTTATAAAGAAATGCGAGTCTGCAACAGAGCACCGACAACGGACGGAGCATTGAAGGAGCCCGGGATGTAGAGCCCTGCGGGATTGAGTTCGTGATTGGAAAAAAGACTTTCGGGACCGGGATATGACTTTACTCAACGGCACAGGATCAGGACGAAAAAATTCAACCTCGCAGAGCTCTACCTGGTTGCCATACTAAATGACAATGTCTTAGCTGTATATAATTTATTTATTGCAAACGATAAATCTAGCCTCTTTGAAGCCTACATTAAAATATAAAGTCATATCAATATCTTGTATCTTCAGAACAAACGTTGTTAAATATAAATACAATAAATGTGAAGGACAAATATGATTCTCTAAGGACCTAGGTGTTTGTGGATGCTCTCTGTAGGTGTCTGTAGGTTGATTTGGCTGTTTGTGTATTCATGTTTTACTATTACCCTACAGGTCTCAGGTGACTGTCTGTGTGTATCTATGGGTGTCTGTAGATTATTTCGGCTGTCTGCGTAATTCAGTGGGAGTCTGTGCAGACTCATTTTTTGAGTGTCTGTTATTTGGCTGTCCGTGTATATGTCTGCGGCTGTCTGTGGGTGTCTGTTGGTGTCTGTAGGTGTCTGTGGATGTCTTCATGTTTTACTATTACCCCAAGATGCAAGACCAGTCAGATGTTGAAAGAACTTTATCAAAGGCCCCTGTCGGATTTCAAAAGTATGTCGAACCAGAAAGCTATATATCAGGTTTTGTAGAGCTTCTCGCGACGCATCTAAATCTGTATTGGGTTTTGGTCAATACCTTCTGGTTACCGAGATATGGGTGTCGCCATGTTTTTGGTCTTTAATCGGTAATGATGGAAGAGGAAGAGTCGAGATTTGGTAATGTAGTACAATGAGATGTTATCTTTCTCATATTCTTGTAAAGTAATGAAAACTGTATAAACTAGTTCGATAATGGACAATAGAAGCTAGTTGGGTACGAAAAAAGAGTCATTTATGAACAAAACTCGATCATACCCATATTACATGTGCTCAGTAAAACAACTGTAAAACCCAAACGATATGCAGAATCAAATTCTAATTTTGTCGAAAATTGTATAAGTATGACTTCTATCTACCACATTCATGTGGAGGTCTGAATCCATCCGCACCTATGGGGAAAATAATCTTATTGAAAAAAAGTATACCAGAATAAGGTATATTTTGGACTTAAACCTTTTTTTTTTCTGGTAGATAGCCCGTGAAATTCTCTACGAATATGGAGTTAAAACTGGTTGACAGGTCATGCAGACCAGAAAAAAAAGGTTTAAGTCCAAAATATACCCTATTCTGGTAAACATGGTCTTTCGAGCTATTCGAAATTCAAGCTATCCCACAATTAAAGTCTGTTTTTTTTCTGATGAGCGTTATTTTCAGGTCTCCACATTAAAGAGGATTCCACACTTTTATACTGTTTTGCATGTCAACTTCATTTTACACTTTATACAAGTAATCTGAACTCTTACGCCGCTTAGTATCTTGCCATAAGAAAAATTTCGTTTCTCACTTACTAGGGAACCGCCACCAACTGTCCAATCGCTTTTGAGACAAAATCTTGTTAATAAGGCCTGATTGTAGCTCGCACATTTCTGATTAAAATGAGACATCTCCCAGCTACATGACTTTTCTTTGCAAAGTTATAGGGTTTATAACAAAAGCCCTAAATACCTTTTTTCCTTCTTTCTCTAGCTTTGAGCTGATAATGTACATTTAGGTCTTTCTTGTACTATAACTTTGCAAAGAAAGGCCGAGTAGAGCTAGGAGTGTCTCATTTTAATCAGAAATATGCGGGCTGCAATCAGACCTTATTAAGAAAGGTTTAGATTATTTTCTCGAGCTTCTGGAAAATTGGTTTTCAAGAAAACCAGTGTCTGGAGATCTAAAAGCAACTATGATCATCATATTCGGAATCAGCTTGATCGATTACCTATCATCCAACAGGTTTCGTCTCAAAAGCGATTGAACAGTTGGTGGCCTTCCATGGTAAGTGCGAAACGAAATTTTTCTTATGGCAAGATACTAAGCGACGTAAGAGTTCAGATTACTTGCGTAAAGTGTAAAATGAAGTTGACATGCAAAACAGTATAAAAGTGTGGAGTCCTTTTAAATGACTTCATTTTTTATTATAAACATGTTTGTCATTTTGTTGTGTATGTGCACATCTATTTTTTTCTTTTTCTATCGTCTGTTTATACTTTCATGATGTTAAAACCATTTGTTAATCAAGCAGGTGGAATTATATTATAATAAAATCTTAAAATAGAATTATATAAAAACAAGGTTAGGAGCCTGAAAAGTCCTACTGGAATCCTCAGCAGTACCTTAAAAATCCCATAGAACCCCCCTGGAAATCTTAAAGAGTCTCTCAAGAGTCCCTTAAAAATCCTTCATGACTCCACGGACGATCCTGACGAGGCCTCGTGGCAGGTCTCCTGCTGACTCCTGTAGGACTTTATTTCAGGATTCCTGGGGGAGTTAAATCAGGAGTCTCGACTAGGGTGAAGAATTCAAGGGCTTTAAGAAGACCAATGTCGAATGACTGCAGAAGATACTACACTAGTCTAACGAGAAAAAAACACTGAGACAGAAAAGAAGTACAGAGAACAATTTGTCCGACATTATGCCAAGTACTTTCAGCCGAAAGAGACAAGGAGGGAGTGAGAAGATGGCTTCTTTATACATTGATATAATGAAAAACAGAAAAACAAGAAAAGAAAAGTGAAAAGTAGCTGACGCATCGTATATTTTCGTCAGTTCCGTCGTCTTTGAAAGGACGAAGAAAGTGATTGATTATACGTGATATCAATATTTCCACCATTTTTTTCCTGTTTCTTGTTGTGTCCATATAAGAAGCCATCTTCTTTAGTCACTGAAGTCTCTTTCGGTTAAAAGTGCTTGGTATAATTAATGTCGGACAAATTCTTCGCTTTTTTCGCTTTGTATTTCTCTTTCTGTCTCATTGTTTTTTTGTCGTTAGACAAGTGTAGTCCCTTCTGCAGTCATTCGATCTTGGTCGTCTTAAAGCCCTTGAATTCTTCGTTTTTCTAGATAAAACACAGAATGATACAGATAGAAATATTCAGTAAGGTTATAACCTTACTGAATATTTCAGGTTGATAGATTTAAGCTGTGCTCTATTCTCTCGTTCTGTACTGCATGTATTTCTATAGAGATAAAATGTAGCGGCCAGTGGAATTATACTGCTGAGCGATTCTACTCAGACATTCTGGTTGATTCAAAATTTGGAGTTGGAACAGTTTATTTTCATTCTTTGGCATGATTCTATCGTCGTCTACCTTAAAATCGGAGTCAATTGTTAAACAAAATATTACTGAAGAACTGGTACAAAAATAGAAATTTATTTAACAAAATTCGACTAATCTCATTCTTACACTTTTAAGCTTTTCAGAAGTGTAGGAAAAACCGACTTTTTTCCCGGAAATAGTGTCTTTAGGTCGGAAATTTGAAAAAGTCGGAAGGGTCGTGTTTTTAGAAAAGCCCATTATTTTCACAATACTTAATATTTTTCACTTTGTACTTTTCGGATTTTGACACATTTTTTTTCGAATTTACCATTAAAAGCTGAGTACAGAAATTATGTTTAATCAATTTCAATGCAAAGAGTTCATCGACCGTG